ACACTGACAGTTGTTAGAAAACCATAATAAATAATAGTTGTGATATTGGGGAGTAAAAATGTTTTCCACTGATTTTTAAAAACATGGCAATTATTATTTTACAGCTCTGTGATGACAGTTACCAGTTATTGACAGTCTCAATTTTTTTTTTTTTTTTTGCCGGTCGTGGGGTATGAACTCTGGGCCTGGGCAATGTCCTTCAGCTCTTCAGTAAAAGGCTAGTGCTCTACAACTTGAGCCACAGCACCACTTCCAGCTTTTTCTGCTCATGTAGTGATGAGGAATTGAACCCAGGGCCTCATGAATGCAAGGCAAGTGCTCTACCACTGAGTCACCTTCCCAGCCTCACAGTCTCAATTTTGTATTAAATATCTCCCCCCAAAATATAATTTTTGTCTTATTTTTATCATGCCAAACATTTGCCTAATGCTTTATTTCCTCAATGATAGAGGAACAAAGTCATTGCATAGCATAAAAAAATGATGCTGACTGAAGAATGAGTTCAATTATTTATTATAGGCCTTTAAAAAATAAAACAGTGTGGCATGAAATAATTTTCATAATTTTAATACCCTGCAAAATGAACACCTTAAGGAAAAACAAAACTGACCAAGAAGAAAGAAGAAAAAAAAGAAAAAAATTATCAATTTTCTCTTAATATTCTGATTTTTCAGTTTAAAAAAAATGTTACTTCCAAACATGTGTTAAATAATTTTTCTGTTACTAAAACCTAAATGTACTTTTGAGAGTTTATACTGGAAGGGAACCCTTTATGAATCTCATAAAAATATGTATAATTCTAACCCAATCAGTTCAAATTTCCAGAGGCTGACATTTCCTCTCTCCCCTCTTTGAGACTGGTTTTGGTTGTATTGTCCAGAATCAAATTCTGGATCCTTTGGCATTTACCTCCTGACAACTGGGTTACAGAAGTTGCCAGTTAACAGTGGCAAAATCCAGAGATTGACTTTGTTAAGCAGGTTTTAAGGAAAATACATACATTCAGGATTGATCCTTTTAGCATAAAATACATAGGGCTGGCAAAGACAGGAGAACTTGAATGCTTTGCTTTGTCTGGCCTTTTTGAGAAGGAAGGCAGAATAGATATGAACACTTAGCATATGATGAGAAAATGACTGGTTTCTATATTTACTTACACAAGTATACCACTGGGTGTAGTTGAGGGTTGACCATTTTAGCTCTCTTTTCATTTCTATATTCTGTACAACAACTGCAACAGATGTGAAGGATGGTAAATTTTTACTGAAACTTTTATGGTTTCTGTGATTCAGTACGAACAAGGTAAATATAAGATATTCTCAATTGTAGGATAGTAGTTAATTTTTCATTAAGTGTCTGTTAATTGACTTGAATATCATAAAATAACATTTAACTTTTAACTTTTTATTGTTGAAAAACTTACTTGTGGAGTGCATGTAATTGTCTTTTAGAGTCAAGAAAATGGCAAAGGGGCTAAATATAAACCAATTTATATAGCACAATGAAAATCATTTCACTGTGTTAATTTTTTCTTAATTCCCTTAAATATTAGTATTTTTGTAGTATATAACATCAATTTGCTTAGTTCTCTTTCTCTCCTAAAGAATGACTCAACTAGCCAGGTGCCAGTGGCTCATACCTGTAATCCTAGATACTCAGGAGGCTGAAATTTGAGGATCACAGTTCAAAGCCAGCCTGGGCAGGAAAGTCTGTGAGACTCTTATCTCCAATAAACCATTAGAAAAACGGAAGCACCCAAGCCCAGAGTTCAAGCTCCATCACCAAAAAAAAAAAAAAAAAGAATGGCTCAACTGAAAAAAAAAACAAAAATTGAGTAATGTTTTTAACTTTGTATTTAGAGAAATGGTTATAATATTTCTGTTTTATTGTTTTTACTTTACAAATAAATTTTCATTTATTTTTCTATGCAGTGCAAATTCATAAAATTTGTGATGAAAGCTGTAGCTGTTCTTGTGTTTTATTCACAAAAATAAGTGATTATTTCAGGAGTGTATTTGTTTGATTTGCCACTAAGATATTACAGGACAGAATTCTAATTAAAATGTGATGCTTAAATATAACAAATGATATAATTCCACCTAATATTCAAGCCACTCATACTAGTGACCTCAAATATTTAACTCAGTTGCATAATGACACTTTAAAATTTTTGTTCCACTATCAAGAATGACAAACAGAAGTCCAGAATACTTATGTGTGAACTACAATACCTAAATTGCTTTTATTGACAGGGTCACAAGACTTTTTGCATAGCTGACCTTGAACCATTACCTTCCTTTCTTGCCTAGCAGGGATAGGATTACAGGTATGAGCCAACATGCTGGGTTTTCATAATGCTTCTCTTTATTTCAATTCATGAGTCCATAACTTATTTAGCTTCTATTTTTTTAATTAAGATTTTTATTGTGAAAATACTGTATAGAGGGGTTAGTTACATGAGTAAGGTAATGAGTTCATTGCTTATCCAGCATTGTTGCCTCCTCCCTTGTTTTCTCCCTACCATCTCTTCCCTCCCACCTCCTCAGCTACACCCACCACAAGCCCTCCCTACCCCCCTCCCCTCGCCGTGCGCCTGAATTGAAAAGTTTGTATCTTGTACATCTCATTGTCGCATCTTGTACATCTCATTGTCGCAATGGGTCCACCTGTATTCCTATTTAAACAATCTGCTTTTTTCCTTCCCCTCCCCAAATTATGCCAATATCAAATACAGTGTAACCAGGGGTCATACTGTGGGGGAGGGACATACAAAGCAACAAAAAAAAAATCACATGGTACCTTATAAATAGGTTAGAAACAATAGCAAGGAAGAAAAAAACCATTCATGTCCCTATCTTAGGCTTCATTTTGTTTAACATCATCTTATCTGACCTTCTCTGCTTGTCTCAGACATATATTTGTTATTGCAACTAAGGGAAACCATAGGACCTATGTTTCTTTGGGCCTGGCTTACTTCACTTAACATAATTTTTTTCCAAGCCTTTCCATTTCCTAACAAATGGGGCAATGTCATTCTTTCTGATGCAGGCATAGAATTCCATTGTGTATATATACCACATTTTCTTGATCCATTTATCTACTGAAGGGCATCTGTGTTGGTTCCATATCTTAGCTATGGTAAATAATGTTGCAATAAACATAGTTGTGCTGGTAGCTTTAGTAAGGTCTTCTTTGTGATCATTTGGGTAAATGCCCAAAAGTGGGAATGCTGGGCCATAGGGGAGTTCTATGTGGAGTCTTCTGAGGAATTTCCATACTACTTTCCAAAGTGGTTGAACAAGTTGACACTCCCATCAACAATGCAGTAGGGTTGCCCCCTGGCCACATCTCCTCCAGCTTTTGTTGTTATTAGATTTCTTGATGATAGCCATTCTAACTGGGGTGAGGTGGAATCTCAATGTTGTTTTGATTTTTAGCTTCTGTTTTCTAAGAAGTGACATCCTTTAGACTGGATTTTCTTTTCTTTTCTTTTTTTTTTTTTGGGTCTGGTCATAAGGCCTGAACTCGGCCTGGGCGCTGTCCCTCATCTCTTCAGCTCAAGGCTAGCGCTCTACCCCTTGAGCCACAGCGCCACTTCCAGCTTTTTTCTTTTTGCTTATGTGGTGCTGAGGAATCGAACCCAGGGCCTCATGCATGCAAGGTGAGCGCTCTACCACTGAGCCACCTTCCCAGCCCTAGACTGGATTTTCTTTAATCATTTCAAGTTCCCCAAATAGCTTCCTAACAGATAAACTCTGTTTAATCTTCTAATATTTGAAAGATATTCAGATATACACACTGGCCCAAAACAAACTATCTCAAGTCACATTTTCTGTGGTTTCTTTCATATAAAGGGAAAGTATACATATGCAAAGGAATAAAAAAATCACAATTTTGAAAGGTATTGTTTTTATACTAATACAAGTATAAAGAATTAAAACAATATTATCATCTATGATTATTTCTATCTCAATATCACTTAAAATAAGAAAATAGAGCTATTTGTTCTTTTAAAACAGGAAAATTAATCAATAGTCATGGAGATTATTTTTACTAGCTGAATAATATCTAATGTTTATTTTTATAAATGATACAGAGATTTATATTCCACATATTAGTTACAATAACATTTACCAAAGCCAAACATGATGTTTAAATATAGTTATTTACAGATGGTATAACACGTACTATAAGTTATATATTTCTATGAAATACAGAAATATGTTTACCTTCTAATATAATCTTATTTTGATAATAAAATATGAAGTAGAATTTGTAATAGAAATGTAATCAATGGGGTACATGATCTGAATACAAATAAGCCCAATAGAGGCCTGACATCTAGGGAATTCTATGCTTTTTCTCTTCTTATTTCCAATTGTTTTGCTACCTCTTAAAGCATAAATATAGGACCTAATTACTGGTGAGAAGTAAGGTCTTCTGTTCTCCATGACTCCAAAGTTTCTTTGACCTGGAACTGCTCCATGTGAGGAGAAAAGCCCAGTTATTTTGGAATAAGTCCAACTGTGGATTTCTTACACTTATTAACCCAGCTTATAGTTGACTTCAGAGTTCCGGGAAGATACATATGTTTTTATCAAAAGTTCCTGCTTCTAAGCTTAAAACTAGAAGTTGTGTGACACTATTTCTGAGCCAGGATTAGTCACCAAAGAACAAATGCTCATCTTTTCCCATTGTAAGAAATCGCACAACTCTATATTATTGAGATAAATAAAGGTACTAATGGTTACAGAAGATGACATCTGAATATACAGATATGTTTGGACTATGTTATTTACATCTAGAAACAACAAAATACTACATATTTGGCCAAAATAATTCATATTTTGCAAAAGCTAATATTTAACTTAGTAATCTCATAAAATATTGATAATACTACTTTATTTCCTCTTGATTAAAAATAAATTTTCTTCTGATCATAAAGATAATTGTATCAAATGGAAATTATTACAGATTATACTGGAGAATGTAGTATTTTTGCATAAATGTTTTACTTTTTATTTTTATATATATCATATATTTTACTTTAAAATATGTAATATTTTTAACATAACCTGTTGCATCTTAGATGAACAGATTTATCATCAAAATTATTTTCCTATAACCAAATAGCAACATCTGAATTTACATCTTGGAATTCATTGTAGGTAAATGAACGTGATCGTCTCCTAAGATTTGTTGGTCTCGGGGGTCTTCCTTCTACCAAGTCTAAATAGATGTCAGATTTCAGAAAGCGTGTATAACTGTCTTGCTCCATGAGCTGGTATACTCTGCTTTGGGCAGTATTAAAACAGTGAAGGGCTGGTTGGGTGATACTCTTGGCAATAACTTCTTTAGTGTGAAAATCAAGGTTAACCTGGACAAAGAAACCAAAAAACAAAAATCAAAAATAAAGTGTATCACTGTCAAAATATTTAAACAAAACAGCTTTTAGAAACAATGTAGGATCCTACAAAGTTGGATTGGGTATATGACATGTTTGGATGGGTGAATGTTATTCCTCATAAGGATCTCTCAATCCAGTTATTTATTCTTGTACAGTGCTGCCTCTGCCTCTTCTACCTCTTACATTTCTGTTTCTTTCTAATTTAGAACAATGCAATCTTGGGTTATAAGTATAAAGTAGACCACTCTATTTTACTCATTGGTTTTCACAATTTTAAAATTTATAGAGGGACCTCATAAAGTATTTGGTGACAAGATCCAGTTTTGCATGCCTATAATCCTACCTCCTCAGGAAACATTGATCTGAGGATTGTGGTTTGAAGCCAACCTTGATATCCAACTAACCATAAAGCCTGAGAAGTGGAGCTGTGGCTCCAAATGTAGAGTACTAGATTTGATCACAAAAACTCAGAAACAGCATCCCTTTCTGGAGTTTAAATCCCCACCAGTATGAGAAAGAGAAGAAAGAAAGAAAGAAAGAAAGAAAGAAAGAAAGAAAGAAAGAAAGAAAGAAAGAAAGAAAGAAAGAAAGAAAGAAAGAAGAAAGAAAGAGAAGGAAAGAAGGGAGGGAGGGAAGGAGGAAGGAAGGAAGTGAGGGAGAGAGAGAAAGGAAGGAAGGAAGGAAGGAAGAAAGAAAGAAAAAGAAAGAAAGAAAGAAAGAAAGAAAGAAAGAAAGAAAGAAAGAAAGAAAGAAAGAAAGAAGAAAGAAAGAAAGAAAGAAAGAAAGAAAGAAGGGAGGGAGGGAGGGAGGGAGAGAGGGAGGGAGGGAGGAAGTGAGGGAGAGAGAGAAAGGAAGGAAGGAAGGAAGGAAGAAAGAAAGAAAGAGAAAGGAAGGAAGGAAGGAAGGAAGGAAGGAAGGGAGGGAGAAAATTGAGTGATTAGAAACAATGAGCTTGGTTAATCTTGGAAACATGCCAATGAGGTCTCTTTTTACACCGAAGTTCAGTTTTGGTAGGCTTTGATAAAAGAAAATATGCTATGATTTGCCTAAGGATAAAAAAATTCCTATTAATTTTCTTACTGATTTATCTAGTTATGATGGTGGTAAGATTTTAGATCTGGGCCCTCTACTTTCCTCTATTGGGTAACATGGCAAAATTGCCTTCCTTTCTTCTAATCTATATATTTACCCATTGATAGATAGATAGATAGATAGATAGATAGATAGATAGATAGATAGATAGATAGATAGATAGATAGAATGAAGGAATGTGGACCTAGTGGAAGGAAGTTAGAAGACTGGGTTGTAAGCTTGAGGAGATACTGGGATTCTAGAGCCCCTTTATGTACCATCAATGCTTTTGTTTCCCAGATGTCATGGGTGACAGGATTTCTGCACACACATCTTCACTATAATCTTTAACCTTTCCATAGACTAATCTACTATGGATTTAAGTCTCTGAAAACATAAGCCAAAGTGAAGATTTCCTCCACTAGTTTGATTTATCTCAGATATCTGACACAATGGCAGAAATACTCATACAGACAATATTAACTAATAATGAAAAAGTAAAATGAAAATGACAAAAACATCAGTTCCACCATTTAAATTAAGAATTGCTTTCAGATATATGAACAGAAACATAGACACTCTTTAATACTTAATGATACTCAAATATTAATTTCTAGACCTCTAACCATTTGAGAAATTACAACATAGTACTATTTTATATTTTCTTTACAATGTGGGAAAACCTACATTTTTCCAGTAAATTCAAAGCCAAATTATCTTTTTATCAACTATTTTGAAATTTCTTTTCATATCTTAATGCCGAGAAATAACTTTGGGGGCAGCAAAGCTACACAGAAGGATGCTGATGCATGGGAAATACTTTTTTTTCCTTTCTTTCTTGCCTTCATCATTTACATAAATCTGTAGTTTCTTTGAGAAGTTGTTGTGTTGAGGTGATTAATATGAATAAGAAGCCAAAATGTTGTTTTAATAATATTGATTCATTCTACATGAATGTAACTCTAAGGAGTGATCCTAGATAGGCCCTTTTTCTCATCCTAATATCTTACACTACTCTTTGTTCATATATAAATTTCAATATGAATAACCAACTTTGCTTTAACAACACATCAAACACTCTGGCAAAAGGTATGGCAGAACCACTCTGAGGAAAGCAAATTCTCACAAAGCTATTTTTACAAGGACGATACACATTTCTAGTTGTGTTTACTATACCTCTTGTGGAGCATCGCTCTGTATGAATTTCTCATATATTGCTTTGGCTTTGAGTATAATTTGTTGGGGATCCTCACTTTTCTTGAAATCTTCACAGGCAATCCAAAATTCAATGTTTTCCTCACTGAATTCGGTTTTAAGAAATCGGGTGAAAGCATCCAGTCCATCTATCAAATAAAATGACATAACTAAAAATATCAAACAAAATAGATGATAGGAAAGTATGAGTATACATATTAACCAAAGATATGTCTTCCCTGTAATGCAATATTGTGGTACATATATCCCACTACTGTAGGAGAGCTGAATATAAGTTAGCTGTAGTTTTCATAACATGAAAAATAAACATGGTTGTTAGTGAAATAAGGTTAATTTCATACTTGAACCTAAATACCTCACTGTAAATAGGACCCTTATTTGTCAACTTCAGTTGGTATCTTTCATATTCATGCCCCTTTCTCAGAATGGGGCTTCATTCCACAAGGCATAAAGTTTTGTCACTCACAGCCCATAAGTTCCATTTTCATGTCATTCTTCTAATTCTCAAGATGCTGGATTTTCCCGCACAAAATTGCAGTGTTTTCAGAGTGTTAACAGCCCTCTTTCCCCAAACCCACACATTAAAATCATATTGACCCATCACTGTACATAATCTTAGTCCTGTTTCGGCAGCGACAAGTTAGCTATTACTCAATGGACTCTTGGGAGTCACATCTGAGTTTCTCTCTTGGAAGCATCTGATAATACTGACTTGTCCTCTTTGAAATACTTATCTTTATAGGATTCTAGGATACAATACTTCTGATTTCACACTGTTGGATTACTTTTGTGGATATTTGTGGATGATGGTTGTTCTGTTCTCCAGGAAATAGATTTATTTTAGCCTGCTCTGTCTCTCCTCCTCTGTCTTCCCACGCTCTCCTCTTCCTCTTGTTTTCTTTTCAGCATTTTTTATTTTTATTTTTTTTCTGGAGCTCCTTTACCCCATACCCTGTACTTTTATGCACATTGTGGGCACCGGCATTCAAAATGAAGTACTAACTTTGGCAAATGATGTTTTCCTGAGTTACATTTTGATAGCATTAAAAGATTTATGGTGGGTGCCAGTGGCTCACACCTGTAATTCTCACTACTAACAATGCTTTTAGGAAAAACACAGTTTCATGCCATCCCTGCAGAAAAGTCCTTCTGACTTTATCTTTAAGGAGGGAAGTTGGCATACAGGTTATATGTCTGATCTAGAAATGGCAGGAATCCCTAGAGTAGGCAGATCATGTTTCATTAATAGTGTACCAACCTAACAAACTAAAGGCTCTGACTTCAAATCCCATACAACCAATAAAAGTACAAAAATGATTTACATCTCTTTATAGGAAATTATAAAAAGAAAAGTTTCTTGCCATGAAATATTTTCCAGCTAATGAAATATCTTTTTTATTTACGTATAGCCTTTGTTTAAATTGTCTCCATTTGATGTCTTAATCCCTTCTTACCTCACTTACTTCCCAACACACTATAACCGGGCTTATATTCAAACAATCCCCTTAAATTACTTTACCAGATCAATTTATCATTCTAGTCAATGAACTTTTTCTCATTCCACATACTGTTTCTCTCTATACTGACCCCCATGGCCCCTGCACTCGTTAGTTTCCTTTTACATTTTGGTCTGCTGTTTCTCTGACACCTTCTCTGCTAATTTCTGTCCAACCTTCCCTTAAATTTCTATTCTAGTAAAATCACCCCATTACTCCAAAATAATCTTCTGGGTATTTTCAGAATTCACCTCTTATCTCTTTCCAGAACCAATAGCTTATTTGGGGGAAAATAAAAGCATGTTAAATATCTCCTCCACTGAATTTCCTAAAAGATGTACCATAGCACAGCTTTTGGGACTTACTCCAAAACTCTTACCTCATACATAGTGTATAATGAAATTTTATTGTGTGTCCCTTCATTGTTTCTTTTGTATGTTTGTCTTTTTCTTTTATGAAGTATGTTACCACTTGATTCAGAGCAGAATTACATACTATTTTAAGAACATCCCAGTTCATGATAGCATTTCCAAGTGTTCCTTGCCTCCTTCCAGCTTCTTGGTTCATTATACCCACTGTAATATTCTTAACATGCTTCCAATTTAGATTTTAATTAGAGGTCATGTAGTTTGGAAAATCACAAATCCTTCTAAAATGATCTGAATATCGTTTCTATACAGTTTCCTATTACTGTGACAATATTTAAAATATCATGCTGAGATTTCATATCATTTCCTTTGCTACATTGAGAAGGTCATGAGACAGGATACATTTTTTAATTTGTCACCAAGTCTCCAATCTCCAGTATAAAGAAACCATTACATTATTTTTAATATAAAATGTTATTTTAACAAAAGTTTTTAATTTTAGTAATAAACAAATTTAATCAAAAAAGTAAAATACACAAAACCTTTCCAAGAAATAATTTCAATGAAATATCAGATCTATGATATTTATCAGAGAAAATGACAATTACCAGAAAAAAAATCACCAGGGTCAAGAGATAGTCCATAAAATGAAAAAAAATGCTCTATAGTTATTATATAATTCATTTCCCAAATAAAAAAGGTGGTAACAATGTAAATAACAATCCAATTAATAAATGGACAAAGTATTTAGATAATTCTCTAAAGAACGAAGTGCTAATAAATACGTAAAGATTCTTTTGAATTTATGAAACTAAGATCATTGTTTTATTTCCTCATCTCTGGTTTGACTTTTACTTCTTTCATTTTTTCCATGTTTTGCAATGATACTTGGCAAGAAGCGCAACTTGGTATGTGATATATCTTATCTGTAAAAGCAAAACCACAATTAAAATAATAATACATAAATCAACCGCTTGAACTGAATTTTCTGCACCCAACTTCAGCTCCAACCAGAATGCTCAAAGCTACGGCTCTATCACTTGAGCCACAGTGCCACTTCCGGTTTTCTGGTGGTTTATTGGAGATAGGAGTCTCATAGATTTTCCTGCCCAGGCTGGCTTTGACCCACGATCCTCAGATCTCAGCCTCCTGAGTAGCTAGGATTACAGACCTGAGCCACTGGCGACCATCTCCAACCAGAACTTTTAAAACCTCGTATTTTTATTGGTAAAATAATTTATTACTGGATGAGCCTGTGCAGATAAATTACAGTCTGCTAGAGAAGAAAGCAACGTTATTTGAAAACCCTAGCAAACATAAAAGTGTAACCAATTTAACAAGCATAGTAACAGGAAAGTATGGAGTCTCACTTGATACACAAGGAAAAAAAGGGATGACAGCCGTGTAGCTCCAAACAGAATTTTCTGCTGTTGCTCTCAGTGAGTAAAACCAACATAGTCCTCCTGGTTCAGCAGCTGGCAGAGACCATTAGAATGGCAGCCATGTACCAGGCAATGCCTGTTTTAGTTAAAACATCTTTTTGTGCATGTCCTGAGAAGAACTTTTACTGCGATGAAAAGTGTGTGCCTGACATCCATACTTCTTTTCCTCTTAAATTTCTAATATTTTTTGTGTTTCCTCATATTAACATCCATTGCATTGGATTATGGTCCTAAACCTTTCTTTCCATTTGTCTTTATAGTAATTTTTAGAACTGATAAGTTGTTCGTATTTTCTAGAAGAATTCTCAATTTTTTTTTTTTATTTTTGTTTTTGGGTCCGGTTGTGGGGCCTGAACTCTGGGCCTGGGCACTGTCCCTCAGCTCTTCAGCTCAAGGCTAGCGCTCTACCACTTGAGCCACAGTGCCACTTCCTGCTTTTTTCTTTTTGCTTATGTGGTGCTGAGGAATCAAACCCAGGGCCTCATGCATGCAAGGCAAGCGCTCTACCACTGAGCCACCTTCCCAGCCTGACTAGTAGCATAATTTGTTAATCAACATTTTCCATTTAGGACTTTATCACGATACATTATGAATGTCTCCTTGTGACAGTAATCATTTTTTAATCCATGTTGCTTATGTTTATTTATATTTTTAATCATTTGCATGTATTTAATATTTTCACTAATAGTGAAAAGAGAGAATGCCAGATTTAGTTGTATCAATATGATTTTGGCTAATTACAATTGTAAAGAAGGATATTTACAGAATGCCAGGTGAAGTTATTTTGTAGGAATTATTACCTTGCTAAATCTTTCTTCACTTTGGATGAGAGTATGATAGAATCATTATGTGACAATTTATTAAATTAGAGTAATAAATCCAGGTTATATATTTCTTTCAATTTTAATCCTTACCATCTAACTTACGGTTATATAGTTTATAGCATATTTGAAGCAGAAAAAAGATTTTTAAATTTAGTAATTGTTATTTTTCATTACAGTAGTAACCATTGACCTTTGTGTAGTGTCTAACATTTATTGGTTTCTTATTCATCATGTAATTTAATCCTGACACATCCATTTCTGTTAGAACTAAAAGCCATTATCTCAATTTACATTGGAGGAAGTTGAAAGTCAGAGTGATTAGGACACATAACTAATGCTGATCAATCGTTTATGCTGCAGGGGAAAAGAGATCTCAAATCTCAGAGGAACTCAGGAAGAACATTTTCTTAGAAACAAATTTACATTTGTTATGTGAGCACATAATATTTTAGAAGCTACATTAAATTTCCACCAATAGACAAAGGACAAGGGAGACCAAAGCATCAGTGATACTCATAAGATACTATGTTGAAAATGATCTGTACTATTGGGGGGAGGGAAGGGAGAACAATGAAGGAGGGGGTAACAAGTTTGACAAGAAATGTACTCACTACCTTACTGATGTAACTGTAACCCCTCTGTGCACCACCATTACAATAAAATTTTTAAAAAAGAAAAGAAAAATATCTCATTTTTCCAGTAAATCACTCTTATCTGTTTCCTTTTTCTCATTAACAAAAAATATTGAGTAGTACTGTATGTTAATGTTGGATAAGAGCAGATAAAGGTTTAGAAATATGGCTTATGTAGAAGAGTATCTATGTAGCAAACCAATCCACAGTACCACGAAAACACAGAAAATTTTCAAAAATATATAAATTGAATTATGGAGAAAAATATCATGTTTAGTCACTTAATAACTTACAAAGTCTGATAAAACTAGTCATAGCAAGAGAGTGAGGGTGATTATATTCTTCCTATTCTCAATACCAAGAAATCAAAAAATCTAATAGATAAAAGGATAAGGGAATGTGATGTGTGTATGTCTATTGTATTTACAAAGTAGACAACTATCTATGCAGCCATATAGTAGAAAATAATTATGTCATTTATGGAACAGTCAAAAGACAAATATTTTGTGATCTCTCTCATATATAAGAATGAATAATTTATTTCATGTAAGTAGAGAACAGAATAATGGTTGCCAGAGGTTGGAAAATGTAGGGGAGGGGGGCAGAAAAGATAGACAAAGGTTAATGGTTATTTAAGAAAATACAATTACATAGGAGTATATTCTACTGTTCTATAGGTCAATAGAGTGATTATAATTAACCACAATTAAACATAATTTAATGTATAGCTTAAATTGCTAGAATGTTTCCATCTTAAAACAAAAATGAATAATTCTAACTATGCTGAAGTATACTTTATATACCAACATCAAAACATGACAAAACACCGTAAAAATATATAGAATTATTTCTCAATCAAAATAGCTCAAGGGAAGGTCAATATGTTGGTTGACATTTCTTTTTTAATAATTGACATATATGTTGGACATGATTTGAAATTTGAATTGACATAATTCAGCAGTTATAGGTTATCAAGAATGAAGAAAATGCGCAATTGGGGGAAATTCCCTGTCATTCTCACCAAGAATAAGGAGTGACAGTAATGTTACAGTGGAACTAAGGTAAAATAATGTTGTGAGAATTTTTTCAACACTGACTTCTTTTCCCATAACACTCTCCATCCTCATCCACTAGATCTTTGCCTAAATTTAAGCTTTTATTTCTCTACCCATATATTCTTTTTCTAAGTTTATTTAAAAGATGGGAATTTTTCATAGGTAGCAGGAAGATACATTGAGTCCATACATCAGTAAATTCAGGACCCATAACCATTGCACCAAGACATTAGAGGAAGTTCAACAATTAAAGAGAAAATGAGCGCAGACAACATAAGTAGGGGTTTCATTAAAGACAGCAGAGTCGTTAAAGTTCTTTGGTGACAGGAAACAAATACCTTAAGATGAAACCCTTTGCGCTTTGTTATAAACAGAAATAAAAGTAATTGGTCGTCCTTATCATGTAGTAGTGTAGGGAAAAGCTGGGAAATGATGGTATTTCAAAAAATGAGGCAAAAAATTGGGAAAAAATGTGTGCAAGGAAGTTATGAGCTTGAGGAAGTATAAATATTCAGTAATGATAATATGTGGCTTTTTTAGCTGTTGCTTCACTAAAGAAAATAAAAATAAAGCCTGTAGCATTCTATCACTTATTCAGTACAAATTTAAATGATACGCTGAGCCAAAATAAAATTTTCTTTCTGACACTAAGTAAATTAACTAAATTAAGATTATCAATCCAGCCGGGCACCGGAAGCTCACGTCTGTAATCCTAGCAACTCAGGAGGCTGAGATCATGGTTCAAAGCCAGCCCTGGCAGAAAAGTCCGTGAGACTCTTATCTCCAATAAACCAATAGAAAATCATAAGTGGTTCTTTGACTCAAGCAGTAGAGCACTCTCCTTGATCTGAAGAATGCAGGGACAGTGCACAAGCCCAGAGTTCAAGCCCCATGACCAACCAAAAAAAAAAAAAGAAAGAAAGGAAAAAGATGATCAATCCAGCTAACCTGTGTTTTAATTTAGTGTTGAAAAATTCAACCAGATTTCAATTTTACCTCCACCTAGTACACAAAACTGTACCTTAAAAGGCCTGATATCAAGTACCTTTTCTATAAAACTCTGCTTTATAATTAAAACATTGATAGGATGTCTTCATAAATGTTTCTTGAATTTCCACAAATAAACTATTTTAATTACTTTATTATTTAACAGTGAAAATAACACACATCATTTGTTAATCACAGATTTAATGAGACTGAAACTCTCCCTCAAAAGTAAGGAAAATTGAAGTTAACAACCACAGAGAGAAATAATTTACATTTTCAATAATAGGCATTTTTTTAAATAAAATAAAATTTAAGAAGTATTTTCCCTTAGCTGACTATGCTGTTCTTTAGTTTACCCTGGCTGACCTGAAATTCAGTTACTCAACACATAACATTTTCTGACAGCTTGTTTTGCATAATTGCATGCATACATTGCTTAATTTTCCATTGAAGAATAAAGTATTTGGTGAAAATATCACTAACCTCGATGGGAAAGCAGTTTGTCAAATGATTCACTCCATTTCACTGCTTCTTCAGGAGAAACTCTGCAAGACACAAAATGCAGCAAGTCTGTTTGTGAATCTGTTTGAACATATGCTTTCTGATTGCTCTTTATACTAAACTTCCCAGAATTCCCAGCATTTCTCTTTTATTTTTTTTCCTTTTTTTTTCTTTCTTTCTTGCTTTTTTTTTTTTTTTTATGATGGTTCTGGGGCTAAATGAGGAACTTGGACACTGTCTCTGAGGATCTTTTTTTTCTTTATTCCTGCTCAAGGATAACACTCTAACACTTGAACTACACTTTCAACTTTTTAGTGGTATTCGGAGATCAAAATCTCACAGACATTTTCCCAGATGGCTTCCAACTATGATCCTCAGGTTTCACCTTGGAGTAGCTAGGATTACCAACTTGAGCCACCAGCACCCAGCTCCCCACCCCCTCTCTCCTTTTCTCTCTCTCTCTCTCTCTCTTAGTTTTTTCTTGTTTAATCATTTTAAACTTAGTGAAATATTAGCTATACAATGGCAAGAATGTATCTTTCTTAACTATAAAGTGTTTTCTATCAAATTTATATATTTTTTCTTTCTCTGTTGATTTGTATGTGGTGACAGTTTTATTTGTATTACAAGCTTCAATTTTAAAAACTTTAGTCAATTTATTTTATATTTTTATTGTTAAAATAATAACAGTATGTTAAAATATCATTGTTTGGGATTGGGAATTGTTTTATTTTTAAAAATTGAATCATGTATTAAGTTTAAAACAAGACAGATATGTAAAAGGAAATCAGGTCAACTATCCACTTAATTAAGTGCATGAAACAAAATTAATTTTACAAATGAATTAATTCAATTCAATTTAATCCATAAGTAGTTGAATTTTTTAGTCAAACTTCTCTTTTGTAAAATTCAGTTTTCTTGAAGCTGTACTTTATTTTACACACAAACAGAAAGTATGACTAACAATTTATCAAATAAATAAGAAATACATCACATTTTCATACAACAAGCATGTTAAAGGTGTTGGTAGTATAGAAAGTGAAATATTTTTTAATTGGTCTTTTTTAATTCCGAAGAATTTGTGTTCAAATAATATATAAAATGATTCCACTTCTTTTGCAATGAAAAATGCTAAAAATTCTAAAACATCCTTTATTTGTTAAATTGCTATCAGTTTATTTCATTTTTTTCAAAAGAAACTTCTCAGAAAATAAGTGATTACCTTTTTAGTGGAAGATTGCAGTGCACAAACAAATTATTGATATTTCCTCATTTTGTTGGATGTTAAATATTGGTAGGTATCTGTTATAAAGATTATTTTTAAATGTTCATATAATTATTTCACTCTAACTACTAATTTGATTTAATTTTAGAAATATTTCCAGTTCCTTGAAGTAGAATTCTGCCATTTTGTAGTGTGCTGTATAATTTTCATTGTATTATATTGTATCATAATTATAGAATCAGCACAATCTCTCCCTCAGTAATGACAATATTTTACCTTGTTTCTCTTGCCCAGAACCCAAATCTACTTGAGTGGATTGTTTCATGTAAGTCAGGTTTTTGTAGGAGAAGACTTAGCCGATTTCTTCTTTCTTTAGCTCTGTAATAATCATCATAATAAAAACAGCTGTTATATTTAGGACAATTTATGTAAATATCAAAATTTCTTCATTGGCCACTGAGATACCGTCATTATTGGTAAAACTCTCATCCAAAAATTCACAAATATATTTCAATACACAGATGAATCCCTTGTATTGTGTTTTCATAAAACTACAGTAGCATGAGTTAAATATGTTTCTCTTTTACTTCAGTGACAGGCAAGGACAGATAATTATTTGAGATATTATTTCAGAAAAGAAGAACTTATTCTGCTATTATTTTTTGGCTAAAATGGCTATTCTTTCTTTAATGAAAACTACTTTAGATTTAATAGTGATTTCCTCCAAATAAAGGAGAAAAAGCTGCCCATCACCCACCCAAGGCACGGTGGTGCAATCAGCATATTTTCCAACAGACATTTTTAAAGTAAGTGCTAACAAATATGCATCCATCATGGCTTTGAAAGTAACAAACTGGCTGAAGTTTTTATACTTTTACCTTGTTTTGGCTTCTTTGCTGGTTTCTTCCTTTCCTGAACCATGTATTAACTTGAAAAACGTTTTTTCTTTAGATTCACACATATTTAGTTGAGAAAAGGAAACCAGTGATGCGTCCATTTTCTCCCTCTAAAATGAAGAGAGGTCACAGATCAGTGCCTGTCCGAAGGTATACATGGTAGAACACAATTCTGTCTCAACTCTTGCAGCAGTTCTTCAAAAAAGCAAAAAGATCATAAGAAGAAGAAAAGCCAAGAGCTGTGTTTCTACCTCTGTAAACATGTAGAAATGAGGAACCTAAACACAGTTAGATCCTGATCTATTTAGGGAAATGATACCAAGAATCTGCAGAGACTCTTGGTTGCCCAGATAAAGAAGTGTCTTACCGCAATGTAACTTCTCCTTAAAGTTTGTGCAACAAGAATAACATGTTAATAGACTCAAACAACACTGTCACTTCCTACAGGAACCCTGGGTAAGGTCTTTAATATGTATTCAAATGCAATGTGCCAAAGTATTACATGGAACAAAAGAAGATACTGCTCCCTGCTGTTACAATTTCAATTTTATTTATTTTTATTACATTAAGATAATTAAATTATAATTAATTCATATAATGCAATGCACTTCTTAATTACATTTGCTTAATATATTGCATCAAAACAAAACAACACATCAAAGTTTTATGGTTAAAAGAGAGAGCAGAAAACAATTTTTTATTTCCATGATTAGTTACTTTGCTTTTTATTTATTTGCTTATTAATTTAGTTTTGTTCTTGACAGTCCTAGTGTTTGTACTTAGGCCCTCTGCTTGCTAAGAAGTGCTATAAAACTTGAACTATACAACCTGTTTGGCTTCAGGCTTATTGTTTTGTTTTGTTTTTTGTAGATTTATTCTCATGATTTTACAAAAGACATGATTTTTTTTTCTTTTTTTTTTGTCGGTTGTGGGGCCTGAACTCTGGGCCTGGGAGCTGTTCCCTAGCTCTTCAGCTGTACACCAGCGCTCTACCACTTGAGCTTCAGCTCCACTTCCTGCTTTTTCTGCTTCTGTGGTGCTGAGTAATCTCACCGAAGGCCTCATGCATGCAAAGCAAGCACTCTACCATTGAGCCACCACAAAGGCCATGATTATCTACCTATTTCTTATTTGTAGCTGGAATTTGAAACACATACCACATCCATTTTATTAAAGTGGCAACATTTTGCCTGGAATGGTCTCAAACCATGATCACCCTGCCCTCCATTTCTGCTTCTCCAGTAGGTGGTATGAAAGTAATAGCTGTAATAGCTGCCTAAAATGTTGTTTTTTTTTAAGGGTACATTAATTGTCCCAAAAGTAAGTACAATTGACTTTGATTAGGACACTATTCATTACTCTTATGCTGAACTTCCTTAAAAATGTAAATATATATTGACTTATTTAATTTACTATACATCAAGATTATTTTTAAGTGTGATTAGATTTACACTTCAAATTATATTATTTTGAAAGAAAGTAATTATTAAGTCAGGTTCTTAAAATAGTTTTACATAATTTTCTTTTTTGTAAGCATGATGAAATGGAAAAAAAATAACTCTTTTAAGAAAGCTATCTTCTTATGTGCAAGATTTTTTATTTTGAATTCTTTAATATAAATAATTTTCTCATTTTATTTTTCCCTAACTTGCTGCTCTTTAAAATGAAATGCTTTGATGGAGATGACAATTGGTGAATTAGTTTACTTAGTATACTCAGTACAAAGGAAATGTTGACATTCCTTATTCATTTATATACCATTGCTTTCACTGTTTCACAAAGGCATAAGTCAGAGACATACTGATTATAGGTCATACCTAAAGTTTATAAAAAAACAGAGTACAGATCTCACATGTCATAATTCTTTCATGGAGTATCAAACATAAATTAATAAATAATGTTGAATAATCAGAGGAACATTTGTAACCAGTAGGGAATGCTTTACTTCACTTAAAAAAGTATGCCTTAAACCAGGTGCCTGTAGTTCATGCCTGTAATCCTAGCCATTAAGGAGGCTGAGAACTGAGAATGGCTCAAAGCCAGCCAATAATAGAAAGTTCTTAGGGTTCTTATTTCCAGTAATCACCAAAAATCAACAAGTGGAGATCTGGCTTAAGTGATAGAGTGCCAGCCTTGTGTAAAATGGCTAAAGGACAGACCTCAAACTCTGAGTTCAAGCTAAAACTTGGAGAAAAATCATTATGCATTAATTTAAAACATATATTGATTTAAAATCAACAAGTACTTGGAACTAGCCACTGGTGGCTCAAGCCTGTAATTCTACCTCCTCAGGAGGCTGAGTGAGATCTGAGAATGGCAGTTTGAGGCCAGTCTGGGCATGAAAGTCTATGAGACTCATCTCCAATAAGTTAATCAGAACTACTTAAAGATAATATTTTTTAAATCTTTATATTGATTGTAATGAGTTAAAATATTACATTTGGATGAGTATAGTACCTATTGTCTGCAGTTCCTCCTATATGGGAGGCAGAAATCAGGAGGATCATAGAACAAAAGCTGTTTCAGCCATCAAAAGATGGGCTACTGAAGTAGTCATTTTGATGGGGACCAAGCACACACCGATGTAAGGAAGAAAAAACCCATAGAGGGAGCATGCAGTCCTAGGGAGCACCACTTGATTTTTGTTTTTATGGCAAAGATTCAAAGATGAAATCTCGACCCTGGCTAAGAGATAGGAAAAGAAACTCATATGCTTGATTTTCTCTGTGACAAATGCCCATAGGGAAAAAAAAATCCGAGAGCTAAATTCTGACATTTCACCTCAGCTGAGTGAGTGAATACCCTTCACTCTTCTTTCATACTGACAGAGTAGAGAAACCTAAGGATCAGGGGTCATGGCTTCTCTCTAAAACAGATTGGGATAGCTACTCACAGATAAAACAGTGGGAGGCTGAAGGCTGTGAGCCATGATGAGGGAAATTCTTAGGAAGGCCACAGGCCCCAGTTTTGGGCCCACCAAAAGTTAGAGATTTAATCAGCAGATAATAACCTATCATGCCTTCTACACTTAGGCCGGATCAACAGTGTATCATGATAAAAGTGGACTATAGTTGAAAGAGCTGAAATGCAGATATTTTAGAAAAATGGACAGAATAGCGATCAGGTTTAAATGAATTTATCCAGTGCCACTAACATAGGTTGTGCATGTGGAATCTAAGGTGCTGTGGAAGATTAAGACTGATATAAATGGGGAAAGGAGGAAAAGGCAAAATTAGAAAGGGTAAAAAGAAAAGTAAATATGATCAGTGTACATTACATGTATGCATGGAAATGCCACAATAAAACTTCTTTGTTCAATTAATTTATGCTAATTAAAACAAAAAGCATAAAAAAGAGAAATTTTAGTGAATCTCAAGGTCAACTGAGAAGACCAAAACAAACAAGGCTTGGGATTTGTATTTGGAATCTGTCTCAATCTTTCTTTGAAGAAGAAAGTCTCTTCATGACCTTGTGAGTCATTTCAGCAAGCTCGGATCTAAAAATATATAAAATAAAATAAAAGCAACAATAAAAAAATACTTTATCAGCTGCTAGCAGAGATTATATGAGTGAGGACATATATAAAAAATCACTTAGATTTCATTTTTCATTTATGAGTATTTGTACAGAAGTGAGAGAAAACCCAAAAGTTTAGAATCCTGATCCTTGCATATCATTGCATCAAATGTTTGTATTTATACATGATGGCGTCTCCACCTGTACATATGGTTTGCTCTCATTTCAATAAGTGAATAAATCACAGCAAGGTAGTAAGGACTAATGATAGCTGGTAGTAGCAGCTATCTCTGTTGGAAATGTTTGCTTAATTTTGTTGTTATTTATATTTTATGAGCATTTTGTACATTGTGTTTCCTGGAGTGTTTTATAATGAAGCTGCCTCATAGTTCCTCAGGTTCATGTTCATCCAATGCATGGTTTAAAAAAATAATTGTATTGTAAAGGCAATGTACAGAGGGTTTACAGTTACATAGTTAAGGTAATGAGTACATTTCTTGTTGAATAGTGTTACCCCTTCTCTAATTTTCTGTCACTTGCCCTCATTGCCAACTCACCTGTCCCTACAAATATTGTTAGAAATGAATTGAACTAATGCACCCTTTTTATAAGGTCAAGGTGGCTGCTGTTTTGGTGTTTTACATTCCTTAGAGTTCGTAAACTAGACAAGTAGATATGCTCCAACAATTATCTATAGCTCGAAGTTTCCTATGGTGAAGAATGTCTGATGATATAAAGAGAGTGTGTGCAAGAAATGACCCTGGATAAAAACTTAATGAAAACTTTCCTTGGTCAGAGCTTTTTCTCAGGTCAACTTTTCAATTTCCACACCCAGGTTTTCTAAGCAGCTTTGTTTATATGCCTTCTTTCTTAAAGAATTTTCCAACAAGAACACATCTAAGATACAGTGCTACTGTCAACACCGAGAAAGGAATTTGCAGCAATCAAAATGTATATGTTGTCTGGTGCTGGTGACTCACACCTATAACCTTAGCTACTCAGAAGGCTGATAACTGAGGATGCCAATTCAAAGCTAGTCTTTAGTCCAAGAGGTTATTGCTTCTAATTAACCACCTAAAAGCCTGAAGTGGAGCTATGTCTCAAGTGGTATAGTACCAGTATTGTTCAAGGAAGTGATGGGCCAGCACCCAGACCTTAAATTCAAGCTCTGCTACTGCCATGTAAAAATAATGTAGTATGAAAAGGAGAGAGAGAAAGAGAGAAGAGATTGACACATTCAGAGACACAGAGACAGAGACAATGAGGACAGAGAAAAGTAGAGGAGAGAGAAATACTTTACATATAATATTACTCATAACTGGATTCTTAAAAAAGATAAAACATCTCTAACTTGCTGGTGATTAAAGCTTATCTCTAGGATAGAAATAAGTCTAAAACATATATATATATATATATATATATATATAACATACATACATACAATCAATGCTATTTTGTGCTTTAAATCTTTAAAACTTTATATTTAGGTATTTCATGTGAAGTTCATAAAAATGATTTACATACTAAAATCTGACATTTTCTTCCATTTCAGTTCCACAAACTGAGAGAAATAGTATTGCAAATGACATTAGTATTCAGCTCACCGGAAAAAAGTTAGATTTAGATTTTGAATAAAGATAATTCATCAAGCTTCTCCATGATCTGAATAAAATATGTTTAAATCCTCTATGCTCCAAATGTCCCCCAAATATACATATGGATACCTGATCTGTTCACAGTGGTATTAAAAGGTGAACTATTTTAGAAAGT